TAAACTTGTTTCTTAAAGACATAGTTAGAAAAACAAATGTGGTTATTACCATACACAATTTTGTTATGGCCATTGACACTACAAGAAAACTGAATTTCACCGACAACATATCATCTAGGTAAGAATTTTTCTCGGTGAAGCATCATTTTATTGACAAGAAATAAGTCTGAAAATAGAGAAACAGTAGAATTAGCAGTAATATATATTATTTATTTTACAAACGTAATATTTGTCGGTAACTTAAGATAATACATATGTGTTTCTTGTCAGTAATTGCAACCAACACTCCAGCGGGTGGGAGACAAACAGAAACCCAAATCACAGACGAGAAGCAGGCTTGTAAACTTATTTTTGAAACGAGAGTCTCGTTGGTAATACAGCCTAAATTTGCCAACATACATCTTCTTAGTAATTCCCACTCCCAACGCAACCCCGTCAATCAGCTGGCTACCTGCGTCAGGAAGTGAAGCTTTTTGATGCAATATTCCGACATCATCCTTGTCGGTAATTTCCCATTTCCCAACTCCCCACGAATCCGGCTGTTGGCCACTAGTGTTGCAGCTTTTATTTAGCTTACCGACAAGGTTTAGTCGGTAATGTATACATTTCCAACTAGATCTTTGTCGATGATTGGCCCGGTCAACAAGAATTTTGATGCAACGTAGAGATGATTAGCTTTAGATTGTAGCAATGTGGGTCTCGTTGGTATGAGTCCCTATTGCCTGCCAAACCACCCTTCTCCTTTCATTTTGGTCTTTCTCCTTTCATTTTCATTTTCATCTTCTGTCCGCGAGTTGTCCTTGCTCTCCTTTCCTCCATTCTTTCCTTTGAAGCACTTTAACATTTGTCTTCTTACAGTGTAGTGGATCAAGCAGTGGCAAGTAAAATTTAAGTAATATTATTATCTTTTATATATTTTATGTATGTTTTATTTTATTTTTTTGAAATTTAAACCATCAAATATTGTTATTAATTAGTTCATTAGATATTAGTTAATATTATTAGATTTTCTTTTAAATAAATTTGATGAATAGTTATGAATAATATTTTTATAAATTTTTAGTGAAATTTCAACTATTAATGACAAAATTTTTATATTAAGTATTTGATATTAACTAACATTTTCAGATTTGTTGTTTTGAGTATATTTTAGGGTGAATATATATGGTTTTTGTGAGTTTTGAAGGTTTTATACAGGCAAATTTTCATGTCTTACCATTTTCTGCATTTCTTATCTTTTAATTAACTATAAAACATTGTATTTTTCATAGTTGAAGATTAAAAAACATATTAAAAAAGTTGAGGGATGAAAAATATGTAAACTTTAAAGTTGAAGGCCTAAATTTTTTGGTTAAATAACCATGTTAGTCCCTCAACTTTCTGATTTAGGTCAAAATTATTCCAAAACTTTAAAAAGTACTAAAAATGTCCTTAAACTTTAATTTCTGGAACCAAAATAATCCCTGAACTTTTATTTAGTACCAATTTAGTCTTTAAAATTTGAAGACTTAGACCTTAAAACTTTGATTATAAGTACTAATTTATTTATTCAACTTTATAAATACAATTAGAAAAATATATCATGATAGTAAAATATAATTATTTGATTTGATTTTATTAATTTTTGAAAAAGAAATTGATTTTGTGACAAAATAATGAATATCAAGTAACACGTTGAGATAAGTACTATTTTGGTATTAAATATTAAAATTTAGGAATAGTTTTGGTATTTTTAAAGTTTAGGATAATTTTGATATAAATTTAAAATATTAGGGACTAAATTTGGTATTTCAACCTAA